TTCTCTTCTCTGTGACATCAAGACGCACCAGCCCAGTGTTCTGTCCTCGTTCGCTCACCACGTCGTAACAATCAATCACAGACTACCGGCGGTGATCGGGGTAGGGGGTGGAACGACTTCGACATGGGTGACATCGACATGGGCGGTCCGGGCAGCATGATGCGTGGGTCCATGATGGGTATGCACCACCCCCTCCCCCCAACTACCGCCTCTACCTCGTTCTTGGCGATCGTCGATGATTGATGTCCCTCTTCTTCGTTACTATCGCAGGCATGGGCATGGGCAGCCGCAAGGGCGACAGGAAGGGCAAGGGAAAGAAGGGCCTCAAGATCGCCAACTAAGCGCCTCGCGGATGTCATGGCCGGCACACGAGCCAAGCGTTGTTGTTGTTGTTATCTCCTCTTGCCTTCTTGTTCTTCCTCGGGTGTGTGCGTCAGTGATTTGACGAATGAAGTGAGCACACTTTCGGAGTGTAAGTGCCGCCCCGGCCGGACCCTTCTTCAACTCCTCCTTCATTCATTTATTCATTCATTCATCTAGCTTCAATCATCCATTCATTCATTCAAGAAGACGATCATCACCATCAGGTGTGATGGATTGTGGCGTGGCCGCACGCTTGCCCAAGAGCCCAGCAGCAAGAGGCAACAAAAGGCAATCAACACGACACCGCTTCGGTGAAGCCAGAAGAAAGAAGCCCTTGCACCTTGCGAAATTTCCAACTTGTCCTGCGGGAGCAAGGTTTTTGTGGTTTCCCCAGCCCTTCATTCATCTTTCGAACAGAAGAGCTACAACACAATCCAAGCCGTTTCGATCTCGCACCACAAAGCAGCTGTCGGTATCCAGACCCACCACCAAGCCACTTCTCTTCTGATCATCAGACAAAGAACGAAGAAGAACGAAGCACGAAACGCGAAGAACGAAGCGAAGAGTAATCGAAGAAGAACGAACGCGAAGATGATGGCTCAACCGATCTTGTGTGGCGCTGGCGTACCCACACACCGCTCTGGCGTGGAGGACCCCATGGAAGAGGATCCTCGCGCCCAAGCTTCCTCGCGTCATCCATCATCCTCCTCTTCCTCTGGCGGCGCAGGTCTCAACAATCAGGAGAACGAACTGGAACGCCTAAAGCGATTGCAGGAGATGGAGACGGACAAGTCGTCGAGCTCCTCCCTCGCCTCGAACGACGAAGCCGAAGCCGAAGAAGAAGATGACGACGACGTCTTGCTCTCGACCCTGCCCAAGGAGCTCCTGGTCGAAATCTTTGGCTTCTGTTCGGTCAAGGACGTCTGCACCGCGCGCGGTGTCTCGCGATCGTGGCGTCGCCTCATCGAACACGACGCCCTCCTGTGGCGTCGCCTGGGCCGCCAGCACCTCGCCCTCTACGACATCGAGGAGTTCATGACCCCCACCGAGCTCAAGCTGCAGGCCGAGGGTCCGCCCGACGCCACCAACTGGGTCCACATCTACCAACGCGTCTTCGGGGGCGGCTGGGACGGTGCGCCCCCCTCTACTTTTTTCTTTTCTTTTTTTCCTATTATTTCTGTATTATGTTGTTTCTATTTATAATTTATAATAGAATACTCTCTGCTTTATTTATTTGAATTTATAATTGATTTTTTGTTTCTATTTTGGGTTTTGCAGACACGCCGCAGACGGGGACGACACTGACCGACAACGGGCGCACGATCTCGTACCTGCCGGGCGATGCGGGCTATCGCTGCTTCATCTCCAAGAGGGCCTTCGACAAGGGCAAGCACTACATCGAGGTGCCCATCCACCTTCTCTCTCTCTCTTCCTCGCCAAGCAGTTCTAGCTCACCACACACACCACACACACCACAGGTGCACTTCAAGACCCTCAAGGAGGGATTCGACAAGGGTGTCCGTGACTCGAACACGTACGGCTTCGGGCTGGCCAATCGCACCATCTACACCATCAACGGCGGCTCCTCCTACCTCTCCTCCAATAACGTACGTCCAGCGCACAAAGCAATCACCAGCACCACCAGCACCCAGCACCCACCACCCAGCACCCACCACCCAGCACCACCACCTGATGACGATGATGACGCAGGGAAGGGGCTGGTACGACAATGGCAATGCGTACAACATCGACGATGAGAACACCACTCTCGAGTTTCCCCACTGGAAGGAAAAAGGTGCGTCTTTTTACCCCTCTCTTGTCGCCTTTACGTGACTCCACTCACCGGCCGGCCTTACGTTGCACACAGACACGCTGGGCGTGTTCCTGGACTTTGACGAGAACAAGGCCGCCTTCTTCATGAACAGGGAGCGGGTGACCAAGTACTTCAAGATCTACTCTGGTACGTCTTCTTCTCTGCAGACTGTCAATCACCGCCGACGTGTCGCCTACTCGTAGCGGGCACTGACGCGGCACTGTGATACACTTGTGGCAGACCTGCCCCTTGGTCCGGCACCGCAAGCTGCGGCCACCACCACCGAAGGCGCCGCCGCCGCGGCCTCGTCTTCGTCTGGGGCTTCGGGAGCAGGGGCCGCAGCCTCGCTGGCCACGTCGCCGCCGGCGGGCATCCACATCGCCTGCCTCACGGCCAAGGGCGGCGAGTGGACTCTCCGTTACTGCGGCTCTTGCCCGCCGCTCGATGTGGCCGTGGGCCTCGCCTAGAGCCTCGCCCCCGCCCCCCAGTTCGTCTGGGCCTTGGCCCTCACGGCCGGCCTGCATTCGCCCATCAAGCTCGCATCCGCCCTCTACTCTCCCTCTCCCCATCCCTCTTGCATTGTAATATTGTCACGTGCCCGCTTCCTGCGCTTCACCGTCTGCACCTCTCCACCCAACAAGTCGTGTTAGTGGCCTTTATGGCTGTTGTGTCTAAATGAACAAAGAACCTCATCGCCGCTCACTCAATGTGTCTGCCGCCTCTTTCACGTGAAAGCAGAGAGGGGGGAACAATGAAAACGAGGATGAACTTTCATCGCTTTTTGTTCGACCGAAGTAGCGTTTTGGTGGTACTGTACCCTCGTGGCAAAGTCTTTGTCTGAGTCGTGAAGTCTTAGTCTTAGTCAAGAACAAGAGACTGGCCGTCTCTTGAAACTTCGTCTGCAGCTCCAAGTCGCTCCTCGCAGAAAGTGCTGCGTGGCAGTAGAGTGAGCTCCCCAACAAGCCAACGACTTCGGAGTTAAAAAGGGGAACGTCGATAGGTGGTTGGAGTTGATGGGTGTTTATGGTAAGTAGTACATAAAAAACAAGAGATAGATGCAGCAGAAGAAAGGAATGGCTCGCGAGGTGTGAGTGCTCTCTGATTAGTAGTGGTGGTAGTCATCGCCGTCGCACTCGGGCTTGCACTTGCGGTCCTCCGGGCAGTACTCGCCGGCCTTGAGGTACTTGCCGTTGTTGTCGGGGTAGCACTTGTTCGAGTCGGCGTAGAGCACGCCCCTCTTGGTGTCGATCGGGTAGCAGCCGCGGCCGTCGCGGTAGTAGAAGTACTTCGAGTCGCCCACCTTGCGCGGGCAGCAGCCCTTGCCGTCCTTCCACTGACCGTTGGCGCACTTCCTGTTGTCGCCCTGCTTCTGGGTGGTGGTCCTGCGCTCCTCGGTCGTGGTGGTGTGCCTCTTGGTCGTGGTGGTCTCCTTCGGGCACTCCTCGGTGGTCGTGGTCGAGTGCTCGTGGCAGTGGTCCTTGGTGGTGGTCTCGTGGTGGCACTTCCTGGTCGAGGTGGTCTCCTTGGGGCACTCCTCGGTGGTCGACGTGGTGCGCTTGGGGTGGTGGTACGCCTCTCGGTCGTGGTGGTCTCCTTGGGGCACTCCTCGGTCGTGGTGGTGTGCCTCTTGGTCGTGGTGGTCTCCTTCGGGCACTCCTCCGTCGTCGACGTGGTGTAGTGCTTCTTGGTCGTCGTAGTCTCCTTGGGGCATTCCTCCGTGGTGGTCGTGTGCTTCTTCGTGGTGGTGGTCTCCTTGGGGCACTCCTCGGTGGGTCGACGTGGTGTAGTGCTTCTTGGTCGTGGTGGTCTCCTTGGGGCACTCCTCCGTGGTGGTGTGCTTCTTCGTGGTGGTCTCCTTGGGGGCACTCTTCCGTGGTCGACGTGGTGTAGTGCTTCTTGGTCGTCGTAGTCTCCTTGGGGGCATTCCTCCGTGGTGGTGGTGTGCTTCTTCGTGGTGGTGGTCTCCTTGGGGCACTCCTCGGTGGTCGACGTGGTGTAGTGCGTTCTTGGGTCGTGGTGGTCTCCTTGGGGCACTCCTCGGTACGTGGTGGTGTGCCTCTTGGTTGTGGTGGTCTCCCTTGGGGCACTCCTCAGTGGTCGACGTGGTGTAGTGCTTCTTGGTTGTGGTGGTCTCCTTGGGGCACT